AGGAACTCAAAGCAATAGGGGGAAAATAAGTGACAAAATTGACAGTGCAGATGTGGCCTCAGAGTGGCTCACAGTCTCCTTTCCCCTTCCCCTCCCCACCACAGACACCTTGTGAAGATAGGCACTCGGAGGTAACACACCAAATGACTAGATTTGAATGGAGTGTTTTAAGAATTAAAAAATCTATAATAACACAGCAAGCTAAACGTTAATCGTTATTATGTGTTTCATAATGCCGTTTACTGTTCTGTTAAGCCTTTTTACCTTTATTCATAGATGTTTTTTTGCTACTAAGTTTGTAGTGTTTCAAGGAGCTGCGGTGGCTCAAGTGGTTAAGACGCTGAACTGCGGGCTGTGGAAGGTCAGTAGTTCAGCGGTTCAAGACCCGGGTGCCGCAAGACAGGGTGAGCTCCCGTCTCTAGTTCCAGCTCCTGCCAACCTAGCAGTTCGAAAGCAAGAAATTGCAAGTAGATAAATAGGGACCACTTCGGTGGGAAGGTAACAGCGTTCCGTGCGCCTCGATGTTTAGTCATGCCGGCCACATGACCACAGAAAAAAAAAACGGACAGCGCTGGCTCTTTGGCTTTGAAACGGAGATGAGCACCGCAACCCTAGAGTCGGATTCGACTGGCTTTCGAGCAAGGGAGACCTTTACCTTTACCTTTTTGTAGTGTTTCAAATGTTAATTGCTGGCTTCGGCCGTAAATAAAACTTTATCCATTACACCGAACTGGCTCTCAAGTGTGTTCCCTCGGGGTTGATCCGTGCCCCGATCACACCCAGGTTAGTTTATTGCAAAGTGCTCTGAAGGAGGCTGCCTTGGGAAACAGAGCCGCGGCCCAGTCTGTGGACCCTCGAGGAACCCAGCTCTCGTTAGGAGAACAGCGCAAGGGAAATTGGCCTCTGTGTGAAGGAACCCGTCAAGTTTCCCAGCCCTTTGGAGCCTCTGAGGATGCCAGCAACCATCCTTGGAGCCAGCCGCAGTGCCCACGGTCCAGCCAGACCCCAGCAGGAACAGCCCTTTGCACATCCGTCTGTGGCAAGGGAAAGACCCCCACCCACCCATCCGACTGATGGCCAAGAACCAGGGCTTGTTTGTGCAGTGGAGGGGGGGGGGACACTGTTCCGTTGCCGCAGCTTTGGAGTGAGAAAGGGAAGGAAACACCAAGAGGAAGCCAGAGACAGTCAGAGGGAGAAAGGACCGGCAGGCCCCGTGCAAACATCCATTGACTAGGAAATGGGTTGGAGTGAAAAGCCGCCTTTGTGCGTCTTGTCTTTGGCGAGAGAGAGAACAAAAGTCCAGGGGGCTAACATGGCTATCCCTTTGCAACCGGCTCTGGGTGGTCTCGTCGCGAGCACAGCTCACGGTCATTCCGAGAAGTCCAGCGGGCGGTGGCAGAGGCTCAAGACCGTTGTGGTGTCCCAGTCAGGCCCAGCTCCGCTGTTTAAAAAGTATGATGCCACGTGGTGACTCCAGCCTCTGAGCCTCTAAACTGGAAGTGAGCTTGTGACGCCTTTGGGAAAGTTCTTTGCTGAGAAGATCTCTTGAACAAACCCTGGATTCTGATCTCATCAGCTTTCAGCAGCTAAGCAGGGTCGGTAGCAAATCTTATGGTAGCGAATCATTCAGCATGGTGAAAATCAAGGTGGATTATGAAGAGCTACAGAAAGATCTATCCCGACTGGGTGAGTGGGAAGCAACATGGTTAATGAAATCCAACCATGTTGGTAGAAGGAAGATGATGCTCACGGGAACAAAAAAATCTTAACTTAAAATATATGCTGATGGGTGTTGAATGGCCAAGGCATGAACTCTCTCTTAACTATATTGTCTTTACTTCACACTTGGTTTATGGGTATCTTTTAAACAGAGGTCATTTCGGGGGGGTTCGCGGGGGATCGCAGTTCCCCTGGGTGAGGTACGGGGGGGCGCATGACGAAGCCCCGCCCCCTGCTTCCGGCCACCCCGCTTCCGGCCCTCATTCAGCCAGGAGGAGGCAGGAGAAGAGGGAGGGTAAGTTGCTTCCTCCCTGCCTCTCCCCACCCCTGCCTGCCTGGGGCCAGGGAGGGCCTTCGCGGGGCTTCCTCGCACTCCTGCCGGCCTTGCAGGTCCACCGCCGGGCCCCTCATGGGGCTCGGCAGTGGAGCTGGAAGGGCAGCGGCCGGGACCGTTGGGGGCGGGGGGTGTGGCCTTATGACACACTTCCGGTGATGTCAGGGTGTGTGGCATATACTAATGAGTTATGCTAATGAGTTCCCCTAGCTCTTTTTCTACGAAACGACCCCCGGTTTTAAGTGACAACAAGGGCTAGAAGCTTGGCCTGTTAAAAAAAATGGACGCCGACCTGGAGGGAAGGAGAGGAAACAGTTAAGGAGGCTGAAGGCAATGGAGCTGAGGGAGACATTTGTAGGATGGGCGAGTGAGCTGGTTTGCCAGGAAGAGAAGCGGAGGGGGGCTGAAGAGAGGATCAGGGCCGATTAGAAATATTCCACTGTAAAGGTTTACATATGCAAGTGCCAGCAAGTCACAGCAGATTTGTAGCGAACCCAGCAAGGGCTTCCCAGGTCAGTTGTAAGCGGAGGTGGCTTGTCATTGGCTTCCTCTGCAACGCCTTCCTTGGTGGTCTTTCGCTTCAAGATCTGATGAGACGGGGCTGTTACCATGCTGCCTTCCCGTGTTCCCTCTACGCTGAGTGAGTGTGAGCTAGCTCACAGTTTTTTAGCCTCCGGCTCACACATTTTTGTCTTAGCTTAGGAAGAAGAAGAAGAAGAAGAAGAAGAAGAAGAAGAAGAAGAAGAAGAAGAAGAAGAAGAAGAAGAAGAAGAAGAAGAAGAAGAAGAAGAAGAAGAAGAAGAAGAAGAGATTGAATTC